CCCTGAGGGTGGCAGGTGTGAGAATGATGGAAGAGGATTATAAAATGAAGGGATTCTCTTCACACTCTTGGGTTGCTTTCCTTCTGCAGAAGCCCCCAGCTTTCTCTTCTTAACACCACGGCCACGAATGGTGTTAAGAAGAGAAAGCTGGGGGCTTCTGCAGAAGGAAAGCAACCCAAGAGTGTGAAAGCAGCCTTTTCAATTCACACCCCCCTCCCGCCATTTTAAGCCACCCACAGTCGCCTCCCGCAGCTGAGCAGACAGGCGAGGCTGACCCAGTTGCGAGGCCTTGCACCGCCGACTCAGCCTCCCACTCCCCTCCAGAGGAATCCGCCATGTTAGGACCCAGCCTCCTCCTTGTGTTCCCATTTAGGCACCCCCATTTCATCCCATTTATTTTCTTCCCCCTTCCCTCCGTCTTCCCCCTCACACACACACAAATCCCCATGGGAAAGGGAGGAAAAGGGGGCAACTTGAGCCCCAAAGGCAGCCCCTTCCTCGCCCACACAAGCCGCCGCCATGTTACAAGCCAGAAGCAGCAGCTGCTGCTACAGCCTGTCCCAGAAAAATGTATACACCTTTTACAGCCCTTCGTTCTTAAAAGAAAGACTCATTTTTGTCCCCAAATACACATAGAAATCCTTGACAACCTTTCTAAAATCGCAATACTGTGGGAGAATGTACAAAGAAGATACTGAAGGCAACTCTTGTTTGCTCCCACCAAGCACCTGACTTGAGATTGTAAATTCAAGATTCAATTATTATTATAACATGTATTTTTCAACATACATATATGTATTGGGAGGCATTTCTCCCACAAAATATGTATTTATACCCTTGACAGGATTAAGAATCCAAATAATAAATTATGGTCTGCAACTCGACAATGGCAGCAACACCTGACACGGCCTTGGAATTTAAGATGAGATTTGTGACTTGATTTAAATCATTATTATAGCATGTATTTTTCAATATAAGTGTATTGAGTCTTCAAGGAATCACAGTAGCAACTTTGCGGAAGCATTTTTGGGAGTGGGGGAGTCACCTTATACATCTCTCCCTGGGAAAAATAAATGTATTGATGGGGTCTTCAAAGAATCAATCGGTGTAAAAGGGTGTGTATATTTGGGGGAGGGGAATACACCTTATATATCTCTCCTTTGAAAACATAAATGTATTGATGGGTTCTTCAAAAAATAAACAGGTGTAAAAGGGTGTGTGTATTTTTGGAGGTTAGACACCTTATATATTTATCTCTGCCTCAACACACATACACTCCATTGAGCTGTTCTGTTTTGCGGAGGAAAAAGGGACACCTTTCTTGAGCTTCCCCTCCCCTCCTTCAAGGCTTCCTCAGCTGCCAGGAAGAGCTGAGGAGCTCTCACTTCCCTTGGAGAAATTAAATTAAAGGTCTCCTTGGGACTTGTTAATGTGAGAATTGCCTGAGAAGCGTGTCTGTCTCACCCTCCTCCCACCCTTACAGTCCCTGCTTTGACTAGGCGTAAATAATAATATGGCAATTAAGAATAATGTATTGGAAGGTCTCCTACCCTTCTTTGGCTGTGTCCAACAGTCCCTTCCTCCCCATGACTCCCCTTTCCCAATACAAAAATACAAATTGTTATTATTTATACTTCACTTTCCTCTCAGCCACGAAACTTCAAAAACAGATGATGAATATAAATAATGTATTTCGGAGGATCCTTTCCCTTCTCTGGCTGCAACCTTTCCCAACACTCCATTAATAATAATAATAACAACAACAAGCAACACTTCCCACTTTCTTCTCTTAAATGAGAATCAAAGACTCATGATGAATATGGATAATGTATTTGGAAGGAGTCTTTTCCTCCTGTGGGTGTATGTCAAAGACCAAGGCACTAATGATAATAATAATATATTAATAACAGCTACAACTACCCCTACTCCTGGAGATTCAAAGCGGTTTCCTCTCTTAAAGAAGATTCAAAAGCTACTGTTAGTGCCTTAGTCCTTGACCCAAGGCACTAATGATATTATAACAATAATATGGTTTTATATGTTTTAATGTATTTTATAATTCTATTTAAAGGTTTGATTTAACTGTACATTGTTTAGGATGGCATTAAATAGTTGCCCGAGAGTAAGCTGCCTTGAGTCCCCTCCGGGGTGGAGAAAGGCAGGGTAGAAATGTTGCAAATAAATATATAATAATAATAACAATAACAACAACAAAAACAACAATCACTACCCCTGGAGATTCAAAGTGATTTCCTCTCATAAAGAAGATTCAAAAGCTAATGATGAGTGAGAAGACTGTGCTTGAAAGGAGTATTTTCCTTCTCTGGCTGTGTGTCAAAGATCAAGGCACTAACGATGATAATAATAATCTATTAATAACAACAACAACCACCTTTGGAGACTCAAAGCAGTTTCCTCTCCTAAGGAAGACCCAAAAGCTAATGATGAACATGAATAGTATATCTGGAAGGAGTCTTTTCCTTCTCTGGCTGTGCGTCAAAGACCAAGACACAAATGATAATAATATTAATAACATATTATTAATAATAATATCAACTATCCCAGAGACTCCCAAGTGGTTTCCTCTCTTAAAGGAGACTCAAAAGCTAATGATGAATACAAATGTAGTATATTTGGAAAGAGTATTTTCCTTCTCTGGCTGTGCCTTGAAGACCAAGGCACTAATGATGACAATAATAATAATAATAATAATAATAATAATATGAACAGTGTATTTGGAAGGAGTCTTTTCCTTCTCTTGCCTTGCATCAAAGATCAAGGCACTAATGATAGTAGTAGTAGTAGTAATAGTAGTAGTAGTAATAATAATAATAATAATAATAATAATAATAATAACTACCCCAGAGACTCAATGTGGTTTCCTCTCTTAAAGAAGACTTAAAAGCTAATGATGAATAGTATATTTGAAAGGAGCATTTTCCTTCTTTGGCGTCTTTGTGCATCAAAGACTAAGGCACTCATGATAATAATAATATATTAATAACAACAACAACCACCACCCCTGGAGACTCAAAGCAGTTTCCTCTCTTAAAGATTATTCAAAAGCTAATGATGAATATGAATAGTATATTTGGAAAGCGTCTTTTCCTTCTCTGGCTGTGTGTCAAAGACCAAGGCATTCATGATGATGATGATGGTAATAATAATAATAATTGAGACTCAAAGCGGCTTTCTCTCTTAAAGGAGACTCAAAAGCTAACCATGAATATGTATAGTGTCTTTGAAAGGACTCTTTTCCTCCTTTGGCTGTGTGTCAAAGACCAAGGAACTAATTATTATAATAATGTATTATTAATAATAATAACAGTAACAACAACCACTCCTGGAGACTCAAAGCAGTTTCCTGTCTTAAAGATTATTCAAAAGCTAATGATGAATATGAATAGTATATTTGGAAAGAGCCTTTTCCTTCTCTGGCTGTGTGTCAAAGACCAAGGCACTCATGATAATAATAATAATAATAATAATAATAATAGTAATAATAATAATTTAGACTCAAAGGAAGCTAATGATGAATAAGAATAGTGTATTTGGAAAGAGCCTTTTCTTCTCTGGCTGTGTGTCAAACACCAAGGCACTCATGATAATATWATAATAAATAATAATAATAATAATAATAATAATAATAATATAATAGTAATAATAATAATTTAGACTCAAAGCAAGCTAATGATGAATAAGAATAGGGTATTTGGAAAGAGCCGTTTCCTTCTCTGGCTGTGTGTCAAAGACCAAGGCACTCATGATAATAATAATAAGAATAAGAATAATAATAATAATTTAGACTCAAAGCAAGCTAATGATGAATAAGAATAGTGTATTTGGAAAGAGCCTTTTCCTTCTCTGGCTGTGTGTCAAAGACCAAGGCACTCGGGATATAATAATWATWATTATTATTATTATTTAGATGTAATAARAATAATWATWATWATWATTAATAACAACAATAATAATGGAGACTCAAAAGCTAATGATGAGTAAGAATCGTGTATTTGGAAAGAGCCTTTTCCTTCTCTGGCTGTGTGTCAAAGACCAAGGCACTCATGATATAATAATAATAATAATAATAATAATAATAATGCTAATGATGAATAAGAATAGTGTATTTGGAAAGAGCCTTTTCCTTCTCTGGCTGTGTGTCAAAGACCAAGGCACTCATGATATTATAATATTAATTATTATTATTATTATTATTTATTATGCTAATGATGAATAAGCAAGCTAATGATGAATATGAATAGTATATTTGGAAAGAGAGTCTTTTCCTTCTCTTGCGGTGTGTCAAAGACCAAGGCACTCATGATACTATAATAATAATAATAATAATAATAATAATAATAATTTAGACTCAAAGGAAGCTAATGATGAATAAGACTCATGTATTTGGAAAGAGCCTTTTCCTTCTCTGGCGGTGTGTCAAAGACTAAGGCACTCGAGATATTATATTATTATTATTATTATTTAGACTCAAAGCGGCTTTCTCTCTTAAAGGAGACTCAAAAGCTAATGATGAATAAGAATTGTGTATTTGGAAAGAGCCTTTTCCTTCTCTGGCTGTGTGGCAAAGACCAAGGCACTCATGATATAATAATAATAATAATAATAATAATTATTATTATTATTATTATTATTATTATTTAGACTCAAAGCAGCTTTCTCTCTTAAAGGAGACTCAAAAGCTAATGATGAATGAGAAGACTGTATTTGGAAGGCCTCTTTCCTTCTCTGGCGATGCGTCAAAGGCAAGGGCTCAAAGGTCTCCCTTCAAAACACAGGGATATAAATTATTATTGTCATCACCTTCATTATTTATACCAGGCCTGGCCCAATTTGGGCCTTCCCTCCAGGTGTTTTGGATTTCAACTCCCACCATTCCTAACAGCCTCAGGCCTTGTCATTTTTGCCCTCAGCCGCTTAAGCTTCCCCCTCCTAACAAGGCCTGAACCACCAGAAAAGCAGAGGAAAGAGAGGGTACTCACGTGGGACAACGGCCCGAAAGATTTGGTAAATCGTCTTCTCTTTTTAGGCGGAATTTTTAAAGAGTGATGTGGGAACCTACAGCAGAAATCCAGGCGGCGGCAGCGGCGCCTTCCAGGGCCATAGGCTGCGGGAGCGGCCGGGAGAAAGGCGCAAGGTGGCGCCGAGGGTGAGGAGCAAGGCCTGGAGAAAGGAGAGGCGAAGCCCTGAAGGAGGAGGAGGCGGCGGAGGCGGAGAGGGCGAGCCTGCTGGGTGGCCAGAGGGAGGCGAGAGGAGGAAGCGGAGAGAGAGAGGCCGAGGACGCGTCAGGCAACCAGCAAGGCGAAGGCAGGAAGAGGAAGGAGCGCCGCCGGAGGGGCTTTTATACCGGGGGGCGGGGCTTCGTAGCGCGCGTCACGAGCGCCAAAAGGAAGAAAAAAAAGGAGGAGGAGGAGCCAACTCCGTGCCCATCCCTCCGGGCCAAAGGAGCCGTGCGCATGCGCGCACGCTGCTCCCTTCCAAAGGTCCTCCTCACAATGGATCTCAGGCAGGAAACGCACAATCAAAGCACCCCCGACAGATAGCCATCCAGAATCTGGGTTGCTGTAGGGTTTTTTCGGGCTTATTTATTTATTTATCGAGTCATCAGCAACCAGTCAATTATATTACATTTCTAACAGAACGAAGCAAACAAACAGACACTGTCTGTTTGTTTTTTCGGGCTATATGGCCATGTTCAAGAGGCATTCTCTCCTGACGTTTCGCCTGCATCTATGGCAAGCATCCTCAGAGGTAGTGAGGTCTGTTGGAAACTAGGAAAATTAGGTTTATATATCTGTGGAATGACCAGGGTGGGACAAAGGACTCTTGTCTGCTGGAGCTAGGTGTGAATGTTTCAACTGACCACTTGATTAGCATTTGATAGCCTGGCAGTGCCTGGGGCAATCTTTTGTTGAGAGGTGATTAGATGCCCTTGTTTGTTTCCTCTCTGTTGTTGTGCTGTTGTAATTTTAGAGTTTTTTTAATACTGGTAAGAGCTCCCGGTGGCGCAGTGGGTTAAAGCACTGAGCTGCTGAGCTTGTTGACCAGCACGCACGCTGCTCCCTTCCAAAGGTCCTCCTCACAATGGATCTCAGGCAGGAAACACACAATCAAATCACCCCCGACAGATAGCCAAACAGAATCTGTGTTGTAAGTTTTTTCGGGCTATATGGCCATGTTCTAGAGGCCCACATCTATGGCAGGCATCCTCAGAGGTTGTGAAGTCTGTTGGAAACTAGGCAAGTGAGGTTTTCTATCTGTGGACTGTCCAGGGTGGGAAAAAGGACTCTCATCTTAACAGCATCCACCCAAAAATCCAATTCACAATGGAAAAAGAAAATGAAGGAAGACTGCCTTTTCTAGATGTCCTAGTCATCTGCAAACCAGATCAACAATTGGGTCACACCGTCTACAGAAAACCCACACACACAGATAGATATCTACATAAAAACTCCAACCATCACTCAAGTCAAAAAAGAAGCACCATTAAAGCCTTGGCAGACCGTGCAAAAAGAATCTGCGAACCCCACCTCCTCCAAGATGAACTGAACCACCTCAACTGGGCTCTCCAGGCCAATGGATATTCCACCTCAGACATCAGAAGAGCTGCAAGACCAAGAACAAGCCACGAGAGTCAAGATGAAGATCCACCCAGAGGAAAAGTGTTCCTGCCATACATCAAGGGAACCACTGACCGCATAGGGAAGCTGATGAGGAAACACAACATACAAACAATCTACAAACCCACCAAGAAAATCCAACAAATGCTACGTTCAGCAAAGGACAAGAGGGATCCTCTCACCTCTGCAGGAGTCTACCGTATACCATGCAGCTGTGGACAAGTCTACATAGGGACCACCAAACGCAGCATTGCCCAAACACGAATCAAGGAACATGAAAGGCACTGCAGACTACTTAAACCAGAGAAGTCAGCCATAGCAGAGCACCTGATGAACCAGCCTGGACACAGCATATTATTTGAGAACACAGAAATGCTGGACCACACCAACAACCACCATGTCAGACTAAACAGAGAAGCCATTGAAATCCACAAGCATGTGGACAATTTCAACAGAAAGGAAGAGACCATGAAAATGAACAAAATCTGGCTACCAGTATTAAAAAACTCTAAAATTACAACAGCAAAACAGCAGAGAGGAAACAACCAGGGACATCTTAACACCTCTCAACAGAACATTTTCCCAGGCTCAGCCAGGCCTTCAAATGCTAATGAAGGTGGTCAGCTGAAACATTCACACCTAGCTCCAGCAGAGAGCTCTTTGCCCCACCCCAGCATTCCACAGATATATAAACCCATTGTCCTAATTCCAACAGACCTCACTACCTCTGAGGATGCTTGCCATAGATGCAGGCGAAACGTCAGGAGAAATGCCTCTAGAACATGGCCCTATAGCCCGAAAAAAACCCACAAGAACCTAGTGATTCCAGCCATGAAAGCCTTCGACAATACATTGAACATTATTTTGTTGCTACTTCATAACAGTCATGCACAAATACCCAATGCAACCACATGTAAATGCTAGTGGGGTTGGGGGAGGATTGATTTTGTAATTGGGAGTTGTAGTTGCTGGGATTTATAGTTCACCTATAATCAAAGAGCATTCTGAACTCCACCAGCAGTGGATTTGAACCTAATTTGCCACACAGAACTCCCATGACCAACGGAAAACTCTGGAAAGGTTTGGTGGGTATTGACATTGAGTTTGGGAGTTGTAGTTCACCTATATCCAGAGAGCACTGTGGACTCACGCAATGGTGGATTTGGACTAAACTTGTCACAAATACTCAATATGTGCAAATGTGAACACTGGTGGAACCTGGGGAAAATAGACCTTGACTTTTGGGAGTTATAGTTGCTAGGATTTATAGTTTATTACAATCAAAGAACATTCTGAATTCCACCAACGATAGAATTGGCTCAAACGTCTCACATGGAATCCCCATGACCATCAGGAAATACTGTTTTTTCTGATGGTCTTTAGCGACCCCTCTGACACCCCCTTGCGACCCCCTCAGGGGTCCCGACCCTCAGGTTGAGAAACACTGGTCTAGAGGCATTCTCTCCTGACGTTTCGCTGCATCTATGGCAAGCATCCTCAGAGGTAGTGAGGTCTGTTGGAACTAGGAAAAAGGGTTTATATATCTGTGGAATGACCAGGGTGGGACAAAGAACTCTTGTCTGCTGGAGCTAGGTGTGAATGTTTCAACTGACCACCTTGATTAGCATTTGATGGCCTGGCAGTGCCTGGGGGAATCTTTTGTTGAGAATATATAAATAGATCCGAGTTACCAGAATTTAAAATAGTGTTATTAAACACTTGCACAGATTAAGCATCTCTTAATTCAAATTTTGAAATATTTTGATATCCCAAATTGTTCATATCTTTTGTTGAGAGGTGATTAGATGTCCTTAGAATCATAGAATCAAAGAGTTGGAAGAGACCTCATGGGCCATCCAGTCCAACCCCATTCTGCCAAGAAGCAGGAATATTGCATTCAAATCACCCCTGACAGATGGCCATCCAGCCCCTGTTTAAAAGCTTCCAAAAGCTTAGTATTATATTGCATTACATTGTAATATTATAAATAGTATATGTATATACAATATATTATATTGTATATAATATGTACAATATATTACATTATAATATTATAAATATATGTATACACAATATATTGTATTACATTATTTCTTATGTTTATGCAACACACCTGCAAACAGCAGCCTATACACATTTCGGAAGCTCTGATCTGCACTTAATATCCACAACAGCAACAGCAGGGAAAGCCTCCGTGACCTGGGTACAGAGCCAGAGTCCCTTGAAGGTTCTTCTACACTGTAGGATTAATGCAGTTTGACAACACTTTAACTGCCATGGCTCAATGCCACAGGATCCTGGGATTAGTAGTTTGATGAGGCATCAACACTCTTCTGCAGAGGAGGCTAAAGACCTTGTAATAATACAGCTCCCATGATTCCGTAGCATTGAAGCATGGGAGTTTAAAGTGTGGGCAACTGCCTTCGTTTTACAGTGTAGATCAAGCATGGGCAAACTTTGGCCCTCTCTCCAGGTGTTTTGGACTTCAGCTCCCACAATTCCTAACAGCCGGTAGGCTGTTAGGAATTGTGGGAGTTGAAGTCCAAAACACCTGGAGAGAGGGCCAAAGTTTGCCCATGCTTGATGAACTCTCAGGGAACCCTTGCTCTGTTCCCAGGTCATGGTGGCTTTCTGTACTGTTGTTGTAGAGATGATCTGCTCCTGCCAAGTGGACTTTGGCCCGGTGGGGTTGGTGTCACCCAGTTCTGGTGGTGGTGGTGTCACTTCTCCAACTCAGCAGGTGGAAGGGAGGTTGGAAAGGGTCCCTGCAAGAGAGTGAAACTGTGATTAGGAGTTTAAGCCCTTCCTGCAGGAGAGGATACTAGAAGGCAAGGCTCACCTGGGTGGACTCAGTTCTAGGGAAATACATTGCTGCTGAATCACTGCACAAAAATTGTATACAGTCATTTTGGGGTCCCTCCTTCTGGTGCTGTCTGCACTTCCCAAATGACACTGCTTCTTGTGGAAACCCTACAAATGAGAGACCTTCAGGTTACCCTGCCATCAACCTCCTACTCGGGTCTTGCAAACTCAGGGCCCTTGTTTCCTCGAGTGAGTCTGTCCATCTGGAATGCTGTCTTCTAACTTAGCAATAGAATCATAGAGTTGGAAGAGACCTCATCGGCCATCCAGTCCAACCCCCTGCCAAGAAGCAGGAAAGTCGCATTCAAAGCACCCCCAACAGATGGCCATCCAGCCTCTGTTTAAAAGCTTCCAAAGAAGGAGCTCCAGTGAAACAGAGAGTTCCACTGCTGAACAGTTTCTCTCACAGTAAGAAAGTTCTTCCTGATGTTCAAATGGAATCTCCTTTCTTGTAGTTTGAAGCCATTGTTCCACGTCCTAGTCTCCAGGAAGCAGAAAACAACCGTGCATCCTCCTCCCTATTACTTTCCCTCACATATTTATACATGGCCATCATGTCTCCTCTCAACCTTCTCTTCTGCAAGCTAAAAATGCCCAGCTCTTTAAGCCGCTCCTCATAGGGCTTGTTCTCCAGACCCTTGATCATTTTAGTTACCCTCCTCAGGACGCATTCCAGCTTGTCAACATCTCCCTTAAATTATGGTGCCCAGAATTGGACACAGTATTCCAGGTGTGGTCTGACCAAGGCAGAAGAGAGGGGTAGCATGACTTCCCTGGATCTAGACACCAGATTTCTGTTTATGCAGGGCAAATCTCATTGGATTTTTTAGCTGCCGCATGACATTGTTGACT